GCGATTTTTGTGCTTTCACACGGCGCACGATTCCACCATCAGATTTCCTTCGACTTCGTGACGAAGGACATAGCATATGATTATCAGCCGAAATCATGCCACCAGGCATTTGAATTGTGAGTGATCTCTGATGAGCTGATGAGTGATATCTGACGGAAGCTTTTGAGGAGGAGTGAAATCTGATGGGAAACCAGAATCGTGGCCTTGTGGGGTTTTTTTTTGTGCCTTGATTAATCTTTAATTTTGTTTTTTGGGTTTTTAGTTTAATGGATTTTGGTTTTGTGTGATTAAGTTTCTCACCCCGATTAATCGGTTAAATAATTAAACATGGTTCGAGTTGGGTTGTTTCAGGATTGGGTTAATAAAAGGACACTTGGCAAGTTTATGAGGGGTGGGATAGGGTGTGAGACAGGGTTGTGGTACAGAGGATCCGTTGCGGATTCCTATGGATAGAGTATCACACCTTCATTATAATAATGTACAAGGAGTTATAATTTATACAGACAGTGTTATATCGTTTAGGGACGGTTGATCTGACAATCATTCCTATCCTAAGTTCCAAATTGCCCCATCGTACATCATTGCTGACTTAAAATTATGGTATTTTTTCGCAATAGATCTTCTGTCTCATTCCCTGTTTCACCACTATATTTTTTTTATTCATGAACACTATATTTTTTATTCTTTTTTGTTTCCTTAAATTCAAATAACTCTTAACAAAGTAAAAATAAAATAAAATACAACAGTTTAAAAAGATAATATATAATAGAAAAATAAAAACTATAGTAGAAAATTCACAAAAAAATTTATTTTCCTGTGAATTTTGACTTTCTAGTTTGTTGAATGTCATGTATTATCCGATTAATAGTTGTTGGAACTTAAAAGAAAAAAAATAGAATTAAAATATGACATTTATAAAGAAAAAATGATGATATAATCATCAAAAGTGGGATAAATAGTGGAGTAGAGAGTGAGACAGAATAGTCGGATCAATCTTTTTAACCTAAGCTAGCTGGATAAAACTTGAATTGACTGTTTATTGTGTTATTAATTTTAAAACAAAAGGTGTTGTTATGGCACGCGCGATGAGGTTCAATTAATTGGGAATTTGGGATCCACATCCTCTGTAGTCACAGTAGTGACTTCAGAGAATAGCTGACGGTGGTAGATGAGGAGTAGTGAAATTGGATAGAGGAGATTGAACGCACATCGCAAATTTCAGTGTATAAAAAAGATTGTTATATTTTATCTTGTTGTGTTAGGCTCTGTTTGATAACACTGAATCTGAATTCTGAACTCTGAACTCTGAATTCTGAATACTGAAATAATTAATTTGCTGAATTTTAAGCACTGAAAAGAGATATATGAATGTCTGAATTTTAATGCTGAATCTATTTATACTGTTTGATAAATATTCATAACTTAATACTTAATAAGGTAAATTGTACAATTTTGCCCTTCTATCTTTTAATCCAAAAAGGAAATAGAACTTATGATTTAATTAATTTAAAATTGTTAGGTATGAAAATGACAATGATTGTGAAGAACAATGCATACAATGACAATGTTTCTTTGTGTGGGAAAAGGGTATGGTTTCATCATTTTGAGAATGGAAAAACGAGCTTTTAATACTCCAAAAGCACGTTCAATTACATTTCTCAATCTTGCATGTGCTTGGTTTAAAGCGTTCTTCTTTTGATCTTGGACGAGAAGCATTTCGAAAATCAGACAACCAATATCTAATATTTCGATATGGTGTCATAAAGCCACGTGTGTGTGGATAAGCTGCATCACATAAATAATATTTATCTGCACAAAAAAATATCAAAATATAAATGTTTGTGGATGAAAATTACTGCAAAAAAATATTATTGTTAAAAAAAATTTTTGAATAGAGAATATCAGGTTGTTTTGTTTAATTAAATAAGGATTTTGAATAGGGAATATTAGGTTGTTTAATTAAATAAGGATTTTGAATGTAATTAACAAACAGGGATATATTTGGTAGATAAGATAAAGTAGTTGAAGTAAATCTCTTGACTCTTATCAAATTAAGCATTCAGCTACGATTCTTGTGCTGAAAAAAATACATACAAATTCAGCACCACTTAATAAGTTCAGCAGGTGAATTTTTATTTATCAAACACCCACAACATCTGAATGTCTGAATGAATTCAGTTTCAGCACTTTTTTATGTTATCAAACAGGCACTTAGTGTCTACACTTGTTATTTTAGTGTTGGTTCTGTTTGGATTTCTCATTTTTTGAAAAACAAGTTGTATTATATATAATATTATAATAATATGCAAAGAAAAATAACTCCAAAAACACCACATCCATATAATATATCAAAAATAATTTCAAATATATAAAGAAATAAAAAAAATAAATTCTACTCTATTTTTTTCTTCCATCTATTATCACCACCTGCCATCACCATCCCTACCCCCCACCGCCATCATCATCTCTTTTTCCTTTTTCCTCTCCCTTCCTCTACCTCCTCCTCTTTCCTCCTCTTTCCTTTTCCTCCCTCTTCCTTCTCCCCTCCTCCCTTATCTTCCACACCCCACTGCTCTCCTTTCAAGGGAAAGGGAGGGGAAGGGAAGGGAGGAAGGGAGGAGGAAAGAGACGGAGGAGCGGAGAAGGAGGAAGAAAGAGAAGGGAGGAGGAAGAGGGAGGGGGAGGAGGGAAGAGGTGATGGGCGGTGATAGTAATTTTTAAAAGGTATCACAAAAATTTAATTTTAAAAATATTTAAATATATATTCCAAAATACTTTCAAAAATATCATAAAAAATATTTACAATAAAATATTTTTCATATATATTATTATAGTAAAATATTTTAAAAATACCTCTAAAAATAATTAATCTAGGCGGAATTATATATTTATTGAGTTTGTATCTATTTTGTACGACACTATCACTATTAGTAACAGTAGAAGCCCTGATCCAAATAGCTAGGCCACTTGAAATATAAGCACGTAGATTTGATATATGAGCAGATGTACGCTACAATGTGACAAATGGTAATGATTCAGTGAAGAAATGAATGCTCCTTGAACATCTTGTCATTTGGTGTTATATCCAAAATATCCTAAAAATATTCGTTATCAGGAGTCATGTGTACCTTCAAAAATGTTTTGATCTGCCCCCTTTTTTTTTTTTAAAGAGTATACCTTATATAAACTGATAGTGCATATATTATCATCATTGAATTTATAATATGTGTGTAAAAGTTGAATTTGAACTTTAAATTTTACATAATTATCATTCATTCACCGCTGATAGTGTAGGAAAGATTAAAAGAAAACGTTCCTTACATGGCTTCCACTTCTATCAATAAAATAGCACATACAATTCTCACTTGATTATTAGCACAGATGTTTGTTCTACTATATTCTCGTGCCAGCCTACAACCTATCAAAAAAGAAAAATAATTGGTGGGACTATTTAGTAAAGCCATGTGAAAGCGAAGTTAGTATTATAATGCACTTTCGTATCTAAAATTACAAATGTGGCAACTAACGACACAAATCTTTTACTAAATATTAATCTCGAAAAAGATTGTTGTGATTTTAGTCAACAGAAAAAGATAGCCATCTGATACTCTCTGATCTGCTTTAGGAAGGAAAAGTCAATTCTAGTGTTCCCTATTAGCATAAATAAACTAATTAATCAAGAAAGAAATGAAAGCAGTCTCGTCCTTGATGCTAAGATTGGTTGGCAGTGGGGAGAAACAAATTGTTTAAACGATTTTGCTTCAAACCCTTTTGAATATTTTTGTCCAATTTTGAGACCTGAGTTTTGTTTGTTTGCCTCTCTATATAAATTGAGACACAGCCCATGTTTTTTACCAGCACCATTCATTCCACTGCTTCGTTTGCTTAGTTTAGGGCTTCTCAGCTTTAGAGTTTAACTTTGAGCAATATGTATTTACTTGCAAATTCATCCAAATGACAAGAGTTAAAGCACTTGTCCAATCACAAGACCTCAAATCCCTCCCTTCTGATTATGCACACTTCAAAGATAGCCAAAAATCCATTGTAGCAGGCCCTGAAGTTGCACTTCCTGTCATTGATTTTTCCTTGCTCAGCTCATCCAATCCTGATGAACGTGCCAAAGTCATCGACGACCTTGGAAAAGCCTGTGAGGAATGGGGCTTCTTCATGGTACAGTTTTCTTTTGTCCTTTCTTGATGAACTGGTAGAGTTAGCAAACATGCTATTCTACTCAAGAATTGAATCTATACAATCTAACCAATGCAAACTAATTAAGTATAAGAGTTTCTTTTGTTTTATTCTTCGCTTTAGAATGAGAGCGGTTCAATCCTCAATGTTCTTGGCAATCCTCCTCACCAGGATGCAATTTAGTGAACGGAGGACTAGAAGGAGAGGATTCCACGTCTAGATCAAAGGAGTGCATTACTGTACACCCTTTGAATTAGAATAATTACTATAAGTTTTTTTTGTGATTTGATGTATGTGATAGAAAAATATAATAAAAATATACAAAGATGGTTAGAAAATGAATTTATGAAGCAAGTAAAATAATGTTTACCTATTTAACCACACTCGGTATTCTTCTTCACCTTAAACTTTTCTAAGAGCAAAATATATGTAAAAACCCCAACAAGGATCTGTATTGACTAATGCAACTAATTGTTTGGATAGAGTATTATTTGAAATATTATTTAGAATAATTATTGTATCACTTTTTTTGTGATATGATATATATAAGATAAAAAGGTAGTTAAGAATATAAAAAGGTGGGTTGGAAAATGTGTTTATAATACAAGAGAAATATTATCTGAAAAAATTTAAGTATACAGACACCATGTTTTTCACTTGGTACTAATTAATCACGTAGTGTATCACTTCTCCAGTAGTATATGCATGTGATCGGATGATATCGAATGCATGCATGCAGGTGGTAAACCATGGCATACCGGAAAGCCTAATCAACGTACGCATTGTTTAACGTGTGTAATGAGTTTTTCGATATGCCGGAGGAGGCGAAGCTCAAGTTTGAAACCACAAATCCCCTGTATCCTGTCATGGTCAGGTTTGGCAGCACAATCCACGATAAATCCAAGCAAACTGTCCTCTTCTGGAGAGATTATCTAAGGTTCTTTGTGCATCCAGAGTTTTACTGTCCTGATAAACCCCAAGAGCTCAGGTAGCGACAATATCTATATTGTCAACAATATTTTGCAATTCTTTCCTTGTTCTACCACAAAGGTAAAACAATTTGGTAGGATAGGAAGTTTGTTATTACAAGGCCATGTAATTGACTTCCAAATATACGCAATGCCTGCCCACTTCCCCCACCCCACCTAAAATAAAAAAAGATTCAATGAACTTTCTATTGTTGAAAAGACAACGAAGCCAACAAGCATTGTAAATTTCTTAAAATGCAATAATTAGATCATAAGCCAATATTTAAACACTAAAGCAATACCAATCTTCTAGATGATCAGTTATAAATCAGGTTTTTGAATAGTATAAAAACATGAATGCTTTGTTTATTCCATTGAACCATATTCTTCAGATAAACTTGGGGCATGGATGGTTCTCGAAATAGTTTTGCTCAATTCAACTGAATGTAAATCATTTGTGACACAATGTAGATACAGTATAAATTTTAGTGAATTTCACACACGACGTTAAAAATAATGTATACCAAATGATCTAAATTTTACATTTTCTTTTTTTTTTCTTTTGCTGAATCTTAGTCCTTAACCTTCAGAGACGGTTGTTACCTACAACCACTGTTCTTGCCCCTAATTCTCTTCAGACATTCACAAAGAATTAAAGAGAAATTTTACATAAGCTTTTATGTTTAGTAATAAATTAACAATGTACGTGTGTGAATCTATTTTACGAAAGCTTCCAATCACTTGGGGCACAGATGGTTCCCCAGATTAGTTTTGCTCAATGTAAATCACTTGCAACACAATGTAAATATGGTATAAATTTAAGCCTTACATTTTCCTTTCTTTTCTTATGAAAGGTTCCAATCACTTTCTCTTTGACCATGATTATATTCTAGGGATCTTATATCGGAGTATTCTCAAAGAACCAGAGATTTGGCTAGCAAATTACTCCAAGGAATAACAAGGAGCTTGGGCATGGAAGAAGACTACATCCAGAAAGCCATGGACTTGGATCATGGCACCCAAATCTTCGCTGCAAATTACTATCCACCCTGTCCTCAACCTGAATTGGCAATAGGCATACCACCTCACACAGATCATGGCCTCTTGACCTTTCTTCTGCAAAATGGAGTTGGAGGCCTTGAGATACAATACAGAGGCCAGTGGTTCCACGTTAATGCCCTTCCCAACCCCATTTTCGTCAACACAGCCGATCAACTCGAGGTATACTATTCGAGTTTTACTGAGCAGGGTTGATATTTTTCTGAGCTGTTTGTTTGAGATTGATTGACAATTACCCTAATATATGAAAAAACTAAGGGTGCACGAACTTAATTTACTAGATATTGAGCAACGGGAAGCACAAGAGTGTGTGGCACAGAGCGGTTGTGAACAACGAAAAGATTAGAATTACCTTAGTGGTGCCGATCGAATGGTCCGTCACCTGATACAATTGTCACCCCAGCCGGGCCGCTGCTGCGTGAAGCTCCGGCAGGATATGGTCCGATGAAGTACACGGAATACGTGAATGTACAACATGTGACCAGACTTCACGAGAAGCCCCTCTTGGATCGACTCAAGCTGCATTAATTAGTCGCTGTCTGTCAGGACCAAAGAAGCTAAGTGCAGGTCATTTGGTGTAGGAGGTTGTGCGTTTTAGTAGAGAGCAATAAGACGACACCGTTGCATTAAAATAAGGGCGGTGATTGCAATTTCAAATACAGTTGAACACATTAATGGGCTAATTGCATAAATAGCCCCTGTAACCGAATTACGAACTGACATTGGTTATTACAACAAGATTCATTTCTTTCTCTCTTTCTTTTCTGTTATCTCTCCCTCTTTCTTGCTGTTCCCAATTTTCCTTTCTTCCCTTCCTCTAATTCTTCCCCAAACTTCCCCAAATTAGCCTACGAGCCTGACATTTGGTATCAGAGCGGTCGATCCTTGGCCGCGAAGATCCAGAATGGCAGAGAGCACGAGATTTAGGACTTTGGAAGATCAGCTCAAGAAGCAGGAGCATCGACTTCAAGAATTGATGGAATCCATGGCGGCGGTGCGGAGTGCCGGCGCTGAGGAGTGGCGGCAGAAATTCCAGTCAGAAGTAGAGCAAAACAATGCGAAATTGGAAGCGATAGCGGGGAGCATGGATCAGAAGTTCAATAAGATGGAACAAAGATTCAGCTCAGTGTTGAAATTACTGATGAAGGAGAAAGGTTTGACCGACATGGATGGGAGCGTAGCAGAGCCAATCTTGCCCACACCACCTGCTCATTTGAGATTAACAACTTCCACCGAAGGACCGGGGATTCCGCAGGAATACAGAGGTAGGCAGTTTACCCCTAATATACCTCGCTTGGAATTACCAATGTTCAATTCTGGAAATCCTGGGGAGTGGGTGCGAAAATGTCAAAAGTACTTTCTGAATTATCAGATCGCCGAGAATCATAAGGTAGATGTAGCAGAGATGTTTTTGGAGGGAAAGGCTGACAACTGGTTTCAGGGAGTGAAATTAGTGAAGCCTGGGATACTATGGGGAGAGTTCAGTGAACTCTTATGTGAGAGGTTTTCAGGAGGTAGTTCACGTGACATTGTTGAAGAGTTCAACAAGTTGCAACAGAGAGGTCCAATGGAGGAATATGAAGAAAAGTTTGAGGAGCTGAAGACACTAATGTTGATGAAGAACCCCAGGCTAGATGAACTCTACTTTGTTTCTAGCTTCATTAGTGGTCTCAAAGAGGATATCAAACCTATGGTAAAGATGTTTAAGCCTCAGACCCTGATGAAGGCCTTTGAGGTTGCTGAACTGCAGGAATCCTCCCTAGAAATTCAGTCTAAGCAAAATAAAATTGCAGGGAGAGTTGCGGTGGAATCCAGATTTGGAATGTATAAGAATGCGGCGAATAACCAGACTCGTCAAAACTCCTACAAGTTGCCTGCTGTCATTCCTAGTCCTCAGAAGACAGATTTTGTACACAGGGAGTTCAACAAACTCTCTGCTGAGGTATTGCAGTTTAGGCGTAAAAACAACCTGTGTTATAAATGTGGGGAAAAATTCGGAATAGGACATCAGTGTAAGAAGGGCAATCTAAACTACCTGGGCACGGATGAAGAGGAGGGCACTGAGTTTGAAGATGCGAAAGGGGAACAAGATGAACTCACAGGACGGACGGGCGAGTTGGCAGAAGTATCCCTCAATGCTCTCTCCGGTGCTATAAAGAGGAAGTCTATCATGTTGATGGGCAGTTTGGGAGGGCTTCCAGTTAAAATTTTGGTGGACACAGGAAGCTCTGATAGCTTCATCAACCACAGGGTAGTCAATTTGTTGCAACTGCCATATCAAACGGTTAATCCCTTCATTGTGACCTTGGCTGATGGCACTGACATTACTAGTGGAGCTATGAGTCCCAAGGTCACTTGATTGATCCAGGAATACAGATTCCAATTTGACTTGAAAATCATGGAATTAGGAGGGTGGGACATTATTTTGGGAGTCGATTGGATGTGCTAGTTCAGCCCCATCACATTTGACTTTCACTCCCTCAGTATTGCTCTTAGCGCTGAGGGAAGTTTGCTGCATCTACAAGGTTTTATCAATCAGCCTGCAATGGGAGTAGTGAGGGGCAAGGACCTCAGATCCTTCATACAGGAGAAACAGAGGTACTGTGCAGCCTGGCGAACAGAAGTAACAAAGGAGCCGGAGGAACCACTGCCTGAGCTTATAGAAGGGGTTTTACAACAGCACTCTCAGGTGTTCACAACTCCAGTAGGCTTGCCCCCAGAGAGAGAGCTTGATCACCAGATCAACCTTAAACCAGGGGCCGAGCCCTTCAAACTCAAGCCTTACAGGTACCCTCACTCTCACAAAACTGAGATTGAAAGGCAGGTTGCTGAGATGCTGACCAATGGAATTATTACCCATAGCACCAGTCCTTTTGCTTCCCCTGTGCTGCTAGTGAAAAAAAAAAGATAACACTTGGAGACTGTGCATAGATTATAGAAGGTTGAATAAGTTGACTATAAAGGACAAGTTTCCTATTCCTAACATAGACGAGCTATTAGATGAGTTACATGGCACGAAATATATGTCCAAGCTGGATCTCAGAGCTGGTTATCATCAGTTGAGGGTAAAGGCAGCTGACACTCTTAAAACTGCTTTCCAAACACATCATGGACATTTTGAATTCTTGGTCATGCCTTTCAGATTGACAAATGCGCCGGCCACATTTCAGGCATTGATGAACAGAATTTTTCAGCCATACCTAAGAAAGTTTGTCTTGGTCTTCTTTGATAATATTTTAGTATATAGTCCTTCTCTGGAATCCCATGCACAACACTTGCAGACGGTGCTCAGTGTGTTAGCAGAGAACCAATTGTACTGTAAGAGGTCAAAGTGTTCATTTGCTCAGACTTCGATTGAGTATTTGGGGCATGTAATCTCTGCCTCAGGGGTAAGCATGGACTTGGCTAAGATTGAGTGTATTCAGTCCTGGCCCCCTCCAAAATCAGTCAAAGAGTTGAGAGGTTTTCTTGGGCTAACTGGTTATTATAGGAGGTTTATCAGGGGGTATGAAGTGATCAGTAAACCACTGACCTTGTTGTTAAAAAAAGAGGGCTTTGCATGGAACCATAATGCTCAGATGGCATTTGAAGACTTAAAAAGGGCTATGACCACAGCCCCCGTGCTGAGCATGCCAAATTTCGACCTCCCTTTTGTGATCGAAACTGATGCTTGTGGGGTTGGCATAGGAGCAGTTTTGATGCAGCAGGGCCACCCTATAGCTTTTCTTAGCAAGGCCCTATCCACTCAAAACCCGGGATTGTCAGTATACGAGAAGGAGCTGCTTGCCTTGGTGTTGGCTGTCAACAAATGGAGGCACTATCTGGTTGGCCACCATTTCATCATCCGGACAGATCACCAAGCTCTCAAGCATCTGTTAGAGCAAAAACTCACTCAACCACTGCAACACAAGTGGCTCACCAAGTTGCTTGGTTTAGACTATGAGATACAATATAAGCGAGGTGTAGAAAATGGTGTGGCTGATGCTCTCTCTAGGCGGAGGATGGAAGGCATCACGGATGACCAAGGAGCAACTGAGATGGGGACCTCCCAGATGTGTGCCTTATCCTCTGCTCAACCTCGGTGGGTACAAGAGCTATTAGAGAGCTATATGGGGGACGCACAGGCTCAACAGAAGCTGTCTGAGCTAGTGTTGGATCCTAATGCAGATCCAGACTATCAAGTTGAAAATGGAGTCCTCAAGTTCAAAGGGAAACTGTATGTGGGCATAGCTAATGGGGTCAGAACCTACCTGATCAAGGCCTTGCACGATTCAACTATTGGAGGGCACTCGGGACAGAGGGGTTGTCTTAAAAGGGTGCAATCCTTGTTTCATTGGCCAGGGATGAAGAGCGAAATTATCCAGTATGTGAGATCCTGTGATGTTTGCCAGAGGAACAAACATGAGAATGTTTCCTATCCTGGCTTGTTGCAACCTATTCCAGTGCCTCAGCAAGCTTGGTCACACCTTACCATGGATTTTATTGAACAGTTACCACCCTCTCATGGCTTTGACACTATTTTGGTAGTGGTGGATCGCTTCACTAAGTTTAGCCACTTCATCAAGCTCTCCCATCCGTACTCTGCCCAACAAATAGCTCAGCTTTTCTTGGACAACATTTACAAGCTGCATGGGCTGCCGGAAACAATCATCACTGACAGGGATCGAATTTTTCTTAGCAAATTCTGGCAAGAGTTGTTCAGCTTGGTTGGGGTCAATCTACACTACAGTTCCTCTTATCATTAGCAGTCAGATGGTCAGAGTGAAAGAGTCAACCAGTGTTTGGAAAATTACCTCAGGTGTATGTGCAGTGAGCACCCTTCCCATTGGAGTAGTTGGCTTGCTACAGCTGAGTTATGATACAACACTAACTTCCACACCAGCTTACAACTCACTCCGTTTGAAGCGTTGTACGGGTACCAGCCAAATCACATTCCTCTGGGGCCTTTCCATGATAGTATTGTACCTGCTGCGAGCAATATGGTTCAGTCAAGGCTACAGGTCATATCTCTTATAAAGGAGAATCTGGCTAAGGCTCAGAGTCGTATGAGGTTATTCGCTGACAAGCATAGGTCTGAGAGGAGCTTTCAAGAAGGAGACTGGGTGTTCCTCAAGCTTCAGCCTTACAGACAGCAATTAGTAGCTATACGTAGGAGTGTGAAGCTGGCTGCCAAATACTTTGGACCCTTCCAAGTC